CCGAAAAAAAAATGACGTGCATCAAGGTCCTATTATGTTTAATATATGTACCAAATTTGAACAAAATCCGTCCATGCATAACTGAGATCCGGGTCCGGAATGGTGAAAATGTGCGATTTTGATGCATTTTCGGCCTTAAAATGGCCGCTATTCGGCTATCGTTAATCGGATCATGAAAAAAATGCATGTGCATATGTCCCATATAATGTGTGATGTATGGGTGAAGTTTGAACTTAATCGGTCCATGCATGTTCGAAATACAGGTGATCACGGACGCACGGACGCACGGACGGACGGACGGACGGACGCACACAGGGCAAAACATAAGTCCCCGTTTTCGGACTGCGTCCGAACGGGGACTAATAAACTGAAATCCATCAAACCGCAACAAGTAAACAAAGAACGTCGCGAAAAAATAATAAATCTCACAAAACACCACTATGCCAAACTGAATGAATAAATAATAAAATAACTTACGTCTTAAACTGGACGACGCGCATTTTTTTAACAGTTTCCAGATTGTGACAAGAGATAAACAAGACCCAAGTCAAGGTAAGTTTTGTTAAAGTGTCGATGGCGTTCCCTATATTACGAGCACAACTCAGGAAACAAACGAAAATCTTCTGTGGTGTTGTGGAATTTATACTGTGTCTGCGGAATTGTTGATTGAGGGTTCGAAGTCAGCAGTTAACATTTTGTTAGAAAGTTTCACAATTAAATCAAACATCCAATGATACCAGTATATTTATTTCATTATTTTAACAACTTGCAATGGTGGAAGTTGGTCAAACACGAGTTCTTACACCTAAATAAGTATCAAATATTTGTTGACACATTTATTCTCTCAATTTAACAACCTTGTAGAGGTGGAAATTAATTAAACGACAGGTATTTACTCACAAATATAATGGTCAATATTTGTCCATTCATTCATTCTGTCAATTTAAGAACTTGTAATTGTTGGAATTAATCAAACGAGAGTTGTCTACACCAAAATAAGTTTCAAATACTTGTCCATACATTTATTCTCTCAATTTAACAACTTGTAATGGTGTAAAATTATTAAATGAGAGTTGTCTACACCAAAATAAGTCTCAAATATTTGTCCAGACATTAATTCTCTCAATTTAACAACTTGTAATGGTGTAAAATAATTAAACGAGAGCCGTTTACACCAAAATAAGTCTAAAATATTTGTCCGCACATTTATTCTCTCAATTTACTAACAACCTGTAATTGTGGGAATTAATCAAATGCGAGTTGTTTACACCAAACTAAGTATTAAATATTTGTTGAGACATTTATTCTCTCAATTTAACAACTTGTAATTGTGGGAATTAATCAAACACGAGTTGTTTACACCAAACTAAGTATTAAATACTTGTCCACACATTTACTCTCTCAATTTAACAACTTGTAATGGTGTGAAATTATTAAATGAGAGTTGTCTACACCAAAATAAGTCTAAAATATTTGTCCGCACATTTATTCTCTCAATTTAACAACTGGTAATGGTGTAAAATAATTAAATGAGAGCTATCTACATCAAAATAAGTCTAAAATATTTGTCCGCACATTTATTCTCTCAATTTAACAACTGGTAATGGTGTAAAATAATTAAACGAGAGCTGTCTACACCAAAATAAGTCTAAAATATTTGTCCATACATTTACTCTCTCAATTTAACAACTTGTAATGGTATAAAATAATTAAACGAGAGCCGTTTACACCAAAATAAGTCTAAAATATTTGTCCGCACATTTATTCTCTCAATTTACTAACAACCTGTAATTGTGGGAATTAATCAAATGCGAGTTGTTTACACCAAACTAAGTATTAAATATTTGTTGAGACATTTATTCTCTCAATTTACCAACTTGTAATGGTGTAAAATAATTAAACGAGAGTTGTCTACACCAAAATAAATCTCAAATATTTGTCCACACATTTATTGTCACAATTTAACCACTTTTTAATGGTGGAAATTACTTAAACGCGACTTGTTTAATCAGTTGACATCAATGCAACTTACCCGCAGACAGTGCACAACAGAGTATCATTTTTGAGCAATTATTAACAGGAACGTGTCTTGGCATTAGGGTTAGGGTCGGGTCAGGTATGGGCAACGCAAATGGCAAACACCCAATTGGCAAGATGTACACTAACGGGTTAATTATGACATGCATATAGTTTACACAAGTAATTGTAAGACAATTGTAACTAGAAATAATAGTAGAAATTATTTCTATATATATATATATATATATATATATATATATATATATATACACACACTATATAGTCTTATGAAATGCAAACACATCTAGTCAATCCATTGTGGTCTTGTGGGTCAGTTGTCTACACAGTGATCACGAGGACCTGGGTTCAATTCCCATGCCTGCCAGTCTTTTCTCGCAAACACTAATTTGCAATAAAGCTAAATATGAAAACAAATCATTCATTTGCATGAATATCCATTTGGTTCAGTGGATATGTACAATGTCAGCATTGTGAGAGATCGCTGTTCGAATCCAGTACGGATAGCACGATTTTTGAATGCTCGTAAAAACAGTGCTCTTCGCGTAATTAGGTGTTCGTATGCAAGGTATTTTTCAACACAAAAACGACGAATTAGGCCAAATTTTGTTATCGGTTGGCTTAATATGATCCCAACGGACCGTATTTTTGTGAAAGATTGATTGAATCTGAAAAACGCGTTTCACAACTAGTCTCTTATTTAGTTTTATGCGTCATTCAAGATGGCGGCCCCATATAGTAAATATCGTATTTATTTTATTATCACGTGTGCGCCAGCTGACTGTGGGCGTTGTGTGGTCACCGGAAGCGCTGTCAATGGACTGGGTTTTTTTTGTTATGATCCTTGGCTCGGCTGCTCCACCCGCCGTATGACGTAATGCAAATTTACAAGCAAATTTGGGATTTCGCGGTCACCCCTCGTTTACGCAATTTATATTTATTTTTCAAGATTTTTTCATCGGAAAGTCTCTAGTTATGTGTTTACGCTTCAGTGGAATGTACTGCGCATGACTATAAATAGAACGGGGAATTCCCACATCACGCGGCATTATCTGGTTAATACAGGATGATACTGGAACACATCTCTTTCTCTATATAAGTATATCGTGGTAAACAGCAATATTAGTATTGAGTTATAGATCACTAATACTGCATTCCGAATATACTTCCCGAAGTTTTTTAAACTGTCGTTACAGCCCGTACATGGCAAGTGGATACCCTATTGGTATATTCAAGCGCACTACAATTGAAGACAAGTACAAGTGTAACTACTGTAGACAGATATTAAGGCAACCAATCCAGACATACTGTGGACATCGATTCTGTAAAAAGTGTTTCGATCTGATACTTTCAAGGTAGTATTTAATGTTGCTATTCAATTAGATTGTGTTTGTATTTATATTATTTGTATAATTGTGAACTATAAGGTGATTTTACGTTACAAAATAGGGCAGGCCTTAGACTAAATTTGCTGCAGTTTATGCAGCTCTCTTGGTCGTGGTATACGTTGCGGGGCGACCAGAGAGCTGCAGTTCCCTTCCCTAAAGAAATGCACAGATTTTTAAATATGCCAGTTATGTATCATTAAAATTGTGATTGTAATAAAATTACCTCGACTTGCAGGAAAAAATAGACAAATATGTTCTCACAAATATATCTGTTACTGATTACAGCAAGCTTTAAGCAAATTTGCCCGTGTAAATGAGACTATTTCACGTTAAAACTGTGCCGAAGTGAAACCTCCGATTGAACGCCGCCATTTTGAAGCCGACCTATATCACGTGACTTGGCTCTTTTAGTGACGAGTGTAATCACGTGACTACAGCAGACGGCCATCGGCGCCTGTCTGGGACAGCGCTTCATGTGACGAAACAACGGCAGACGGCTTTTTATAATTTTAATTTCATTTCACCATTAAGTGACTCATCTTTTTTTGAAAAAATCAAATAAAGTACATGTATTATTAAAAATATTTTTTTCAAGCAGTTTTATTTATATATTAGAGAGTTTAAGATTTGCGTACGTAACGGGAACGTAACGTGATGTTCTAATTTCGTTTGCGTTACGTTCTCGGGTGTCAGAAAACGATTAGTACAG